TATTTATCCACATAGGAAGCGAAAAAAACCCAAAAAAATCCAACAGCGACCTCCAGAGTACTTTTGAGGAGTGCTCACTTAAGGTTTAGCCTAAGTAATCGAGTCTACGTCATAACCTAAGATAGTGGAGATTTGTGATCGCGCGGCCCCTACCAAATTTTATTAAAAGAAGTTTGAAAAGCTCTCAAAATTAATTTTTTAATTTAATGTGTCTTGATCTCAACATGTAGAGAAATTTGTGGAATTTTCCGTAGTTGGAGAGTGAATTTATTATATTTTGAAAAAATATCTAGGATCATGACTGAATTATAGTACTAGGAAATTAGTTGAAGAGGCCAGATGTCACTAAAATGCTGTGATTCAACTGTGCAATCAATGAATTTGAAAATGAATGCTTGCAACAAACTAAACAGTAGCAGGTCAATCAATTTTGTATCCATTCAAGTTGGTGCCTTCTTTATAGGAGACATCAATCAAGTAACCACTATTTCTATGTTTGAATATTAGATCCCAAATCTTGATCTGAATGCACTGAAAATACCAAGTACATTAGCGTTATATATTAAGAGGTGACACATTTAGAATTTAGACGATTAGAATTCTACATTGAAATTTGAAAACTATAATGTACTATACTCCATCATACAAATAATGTTTTTTTTTATAAAGTTTTTTTTTTAAGAGTCAAACAAAAAAAAAATTATAATGTTTTTTGCTAATAGTTTTTAAATATTTTAAATTGTTAACTACTATGACTTATAGTACTTTAATTTTGATGTAGTTTCTAAATATATAAATTTTACTTCAAAAATTAAAAAATCTATGTTTGAATATTAGTCAATGTGACACTCGTGTTCCGAAAAGGTTAAATTGAAACGGATGCAGTAAATATTTCTGGTTATATCTCTGCTTTTCGACTTAAAAGATTGGTTCTGCTAAATCAGCAAATTGATGATTAACATGTCACTAATTTTAAGATCTGTATATTAATTGCTTAGTTGTGTTGCTTAATAAATTATTTTTGTTTTGATCATTTGTTTTGTTATGTGTATCTAGGTTTCTTCCCACTATTAAGAGTTGTGATGAGATAGATAGGGTTCACATTTAAATAAATGTCTCGGGGTTAAGCCTTGAGAATTAAAAAAATAATCTTAATAGAAAATGCTTTCCCCTTTAATGGGCTTTACGCAGTACGAATCTGAATTAGTCGGAGCCCTCAATACGGATACTGAATACCAAGTCGAAAATAACAAAGAAAGGTTCCCTCCCAACCCCCATATAAGGAATAAAAGTTCAGCTTTATAGTATCAGATTGATTAAAGGTGATAGTGAACAAGAAAATTTGAAATATGAAGACTACATTAATTTGACGATGTGCTCAAGGCAAACTGATGCATTGAACCAGCAGAAGAAGTCAGTTAATTTTCCTCAGTTCCACCTTATTCTATGTTGATTTTGGCTTCATCATTAACTTATATGCAAAAGAAGCAACTGCAAAAACTATTTTAATAATAAAATCTTGGAAGTTATTCATGTGATTGCTATCTACAATTAATTTTGATTCTGAGAATAAAGACTGCTATATAATAAAAATATTTTAGACAGGTTTGCCGAATGTTGGTGCTATTGTCTAATAATTTCATGACATTATAAAATGACAAAAATATTTTTTTATTACACCCTGCTATCACATCTTTATCTATGTTCAATGAACAATTTTCTTATGTTTTGCTCCATTTTTTAGATCAATTGTAGGACCCTATTGCCTATGGAAGAAACTGCCAAAACTTAGGAAATTAAAATTTAGTATAGGTGTCAAAGATTTTAAGGCAAACAAATAAAAATAGTATATGTCCAAGTGTCAAGTCCCGAGGGCTTGTGTCCGCCGAAAGCTTCCTTTTTTCTTTTTAGTCTTTCCTTGCTTCTTTTCTTCTCAAGCACTTGCTATTTCATCTTCTCTTAGATAGGCTATCTTCCGATTCAATGCCATCAAAATGTACTTAGCATGCCTACTTTTCCTTATTAGTTCAAATAGCCCTAGCTAGATTCTCAAGCTCTGATAAACCCGCAACAAGAACAGCCTTTATTTTATGCCGTGCCGAAAGGACTAAGAGCTCTTATTCCGCAGTCTTTAGCACATAGCAGTCGACGCAGTACTGATTCCTGGCGGTTCCGCTAATCTTCCTATAAATTCCATTCCTAAAAAACCCGGCAATCGTAGACTGCTTTGGTTTATCTAGTCTTGATAAATGAAAGGCACCCGCTCTTATTCCACACAGTAAAAGAAAAAGGCCGTCTTCTCAAAGTCCGTACCTGTACCGAAGAGACCAGACCTTGGGAAGGCATCACCTATGCTAGAAGGCTTAACAGTCCTCCTTATTAGCAGCCCAGATCTGTTTTGTGCTCGGCTTGATGCTATCTCAGATGTCCATTCAAAAAGAGCTATTGGGGGCAGCCCTACTAATTCGTATTCGTCTTTTAAGACAGGAGCTCCTAGGCAAACTCGGAAAAGAAGGAGTGGCTCCNACAATACTTTTGTCCTTATTATGCTACATTATAGATAGGAGTTGGAAGTTGAACGAGAGAACAAAAAACGAAATATCAAACGGCTAATTATAATGGAGAACTTGAAGATTTCAGTATATAGTATTAAATAATAGTAAGAGGTTTAAGATACATCTAATTTATATTGTCACGTTGTTAAGAATGGTTTATGCAACTAACGAAAATTCTGATTTTAGACTGCTTTCACAATTAAGGGTTCCAATTTTGTTTAAGGTTTCTTTTTTGGAACATTGCAAATATTTATTATCATTTCATCAATAATGTTATATATGTTATACTACTTTCACACTTTATAGGACGTAAAATTTATCTAACTATTCAAAATGTTGTTATTTTATATGTTAAAATTTTCTTCCATTACGCACTAGTATAATATATAAGGTAAATTAATATTTCAATCTATTATTCAATAGAAAATTAAAAGGAAAAAGAGAAAATAATTATATTTAGCAGAATGCATGTCAACATCAACCATTACTGCTAAGATAAATACATCTTGCAATCTTCTATTCTTTTCTCTCTTTAACGATGTTTCAAGCTAAGTCTTCATTTATTTAACAAATTGCTTGCCCGCGCTTATATTTCCTGGCTGCTTTGGACCACATTAATTATTTACTCTCTATCAACCTATTTTCATATATATTGGCATTTTATGCAATCTTATCCTTCTACTTCAAGAGCACCCCCTCCAAAATGGGGTGGGGTTAGACGATTCACAAGACGTGGAGACAAGATTTAAACTTTATAAGAGTTTCTAATTTAATTTATATTTAGTTTATTTTTAATATAAATATAAGGTTTCGATTAAAGTTATTGAGCTCAGCCAAATCTGTAGGTAGCCATCTAGCTCCGCCCCAGTAGTGTGAATAAATATAATTGATTTTTCACTGAGTAATAGTATAAACATGTAGTGGACCCCTCTTACCTATCAATGCAAGAGTACTTGATATGGAGTAATTAGAATTTATCGGATTAGTGGACATACACCATGTTTATTCTATTGAGTACATTATTAGATTGGAAACTATTGAAAAAAGAATTTATGTAGATGTATTAAATGTTAGATATTGCTTTAAAGGTATTTGAAAGAATTGGGAGAAATTCAAAAATTGTCAGATTTACAAGTGGCAATTGAAAAATACTCACAGTTTCAAAAGTAATTGAAATTTAGCCACTTTTCATGTAAAGATAAATCTGAACAAAAATACTGTCCGAAAAATATTCCAGTATATTATACTGAACTCCAGCATATTATACTGAAGTTCCATTATAATATACTGGTCCAGCATAATATGCTGGAAGTTCATACGCAAGTGCTCCAATCTCTAGTATATTATGCTGGAACTTTCCGCGTGTTGGAGTTCCAGCATAATACGCTGATAGTTCATACACAGGTGCACCAATCTCCAGTATATTATGCTGGACCGGTCCGTGTTGCAGCAAAATAGTGGCTATTTTTCAATGACTTTGCAAACGGTGGCTATTTTTGAATTATCAGTCCGAAAACTAGTTAGCTCATGCTATTTTTACGAAAGAATTCATCCTCTGCCCTCTTTATATTAATTTTATTTATAGCTTCCTCAATTATCATTTCTACCTTAATATTGTCTGCCACACATCAATCATTTCCTATAAAAATGTTAAGCATTCTCTACAAATTTTTTAAGAATATTCTATTGGTTCCGTTGTTCTTTTTGGTCATTTTACATTGCAAAATTCAAATCTTGACACTTGCGTAGATAATTGAAGTAAAACAGTTCATGAATACTAGCTTATGCTCTTCGAAATGGAGTTGCTTTAATGTGGCCCTTAAGCTCAAAAATGATTGAGACAAACAAAAAGTTGATCTATACTCTTAAGTCTTAAACAAAAAAAACTATAAGAGGCAAAATGACAGCTTTCTTCATATCCATTGGTAATCAACAATCACATGTTCTTGCAAAAAATAACAGCTTGACTAAAGTTAGCACATGAACTATATGAAACGAGCTAGAGGGTCCTAACATATTTGTCTGAAATACCAAATAGGCAATATTGTTAGAAGGATTTTGAGGTGTTTTATTTCTCCTCCTAATTTTGGTTTGACAACAATATCTCACTAACTTGATAAATGATGTCCATATGGCTGTTGAGCATTTCCTGTTGTAATGGTGCACTCATATTTTAACTGACGAATTTAGATATTCACGATCAAAAAGTTCTGAATTCTTTTTCGAATAAATCCTGAAAGAAGAAAGAATGGAATGCAACATGTTGTGTGACAAGAAAATGGGGTAAATAACATTTCTACTCTGATGGGAATAGCCAAAAACCAAATTAGGTATGATAAATTACTACACACAACCATTGGCAACCCCCACC